GCTCGCCAGAAAGACAGAGAGAGACAGAGAAACAGAAAGTGAGAAATCACCCCCCAGGGGGGATGGCCACACCACAATCCCTTCTCCTCCATTCTCCTCTCGGAATCTTGGGCACACATGCACATGCGCCTGGCGTGACTTTAAGCCACCGGGTCCAGGACACGAACCACAGTCAACTACATGGGAGTCCAGCAACATAGCCATTATGCTAACTGCTGGTTCCAACACTGCTGCTTATTGAAAGCAGGATACAGAGCCCCTCCCAGGAGAACACAGAAGGATGGGTGCCTAGAGGCAGGGGCTGCCTTTGTTTGGGTCCTATCTACACCCTTGGGTGGCCTGAGCCAGGTCCACCCCTCAACCCCCTGGTGCCCTCTGGTTCTCCATCTGCCACTGTGCACTAGGGAGCCATGGCCAGGCCTCTGCTGCTATGGACTCCTCTGTGGCCTGCCTGGTCCCAGAAGGCACCCAGGGCTGCGCTGCCAGGTGGTGAGCACTTCAGAGGCAGGACAGTGTTGGCTACAAGCTGAATGGTGACCATCGGCAAGTCCAGAGCTGGGCTCTCACACATTGGGCTTATCTAGGGCCCACCAAACCTTTGAGGGGTGTCTTCTTATAACTCCCTTTTAATATTTAGGGAGACCGAAGCCCAGGGCGGTAAAGTCACTTGCCCATAGTCACACTAAAAGGTAGGGTCAGACTCTGAGTCTAGCCAAGTGGTTCCAGGGCTATGTTCTCAGCCACTCCCTATAGCTGCCATCTTTGTTACCCTGCCACCATCACCATCACCACCCCCATCACCACCACCATCCTTATCATCACCAGCACCATCATCACCATCACAATCATCGCTGACACCACCATGGTTGGCTGTGTCGCCTTCACCATCATGGGGAAAGTAACAGAATGGTAACCAGGCAAAGGGAGGAAATCTGAGCTGAGCTACTTGCCATCCATGCTAAGCCAACAAGAAATAGCCATAGCTCGGGAACCAGCAGTTAGCGTAATGGCTATGTCGCTGGACTCCCACATAGTCGACCGCGGTTCGTGTCCCGGACCCGGTGGCTTAAAACTCACGCTGGGCGCGTGTGCGTGCGTGCCCAAGAGCCCGAGAGGAGAATGGAGGAGAAGGGATTGCAGCGTGGCCATCCCCCCAGGGGGTGATTTCTCGCTTTCTGTCTCTATGTCTCTCTCTGTCTGGCGAGCGCACGCGCCCTACAGTGAAAAATCTCTCCAAAAAAAAAAAAAAAAAGAAAGAAATAGCCATAGCTCAAAAGAAAGGGGAAGTAGAGGGTTGGGAGACGGGCCATAGAAAGGGAAGGAGTCTGGGACCCCACACACCACTTGACCAGTTCTGATGGAGACGGAGACAGGGTTGTCAGGATGCCCACTTCAAAGATAAGGACCAGCAGTTAGCATAATGGCTATGTTGCTGGACTCTCGTGTATTTGATCACAGTTTGAGTCCTGGACCCGGTGGCTTAAACTCATGCCGGGTATGTGTGCATGCGTGCCCAAGATCCCAAGAGGAGAATGGAGGAGAAGGGATTGCAGCGTGGCCATCCCCCCAGGGGGTGATTTCTCGCTTTCTGTCTCTCTTTCTGGCGAGTGCCCGCGCACTATAGCAAAAACCTCTCAAAAAAAAAAAAAAAAAAAAAGATAAGGACACAGTGGCTCCATGGGAGCTGCCTCCTAACCTGGCCAGCCAGCTGGAGGCCATGGCACCTGGACTGTGCCCTGTTTACCCACAGCTCTGCACATCTGCACCCTGGGATACAAGGACATCTTCCTGGGAGATGACGTGGACAAGACATTCTGAGGCCAGCCTTCAGGGTGTGGGCACAGAGCTAGCCCTAGAGGGCAGGAGACTCCAGTTCTCCTCCCTGCTCATGTGTGATCTGGGCTGGGAACTCCTCATGGCGGTTGTTATTCTGCGACACGAGGATGCTCACCTGGGAGCCGGTGTCCTCAGAGATGCTATAGAAGCCTGGAGGGTGTTATGAGGTCAGGAGGCATTTGTCCCTCACCTCTAGGGGCCGAGATACTGGTGTCCAGAAGGATGTGTCCCTATAACATCCTGCGGGCTATGTGGCCTGGGGCAAGCTCCAGGATCTCTCTGAGCCCCTCACCTTTTCTGCTGCCAGGTATGTGGGACGCTGCAGACAATGGAGCTGAACATGAGGGCAGTGACGAAGGAGAAGAGGGCCAGGTAGATGAGCCCCTCGACGCCATCGTAGCAGAAGCCTGTCAGCGCCTGGACGTAGTCCTGAGACCAGGTGGGGATGAGACAGCAAGACCCACAGTGACGGGAGAAAACAGGGATAGGCCACGTGAGAAGAGACGTACAGGCCCTCGGGGGGCCATGCTGCCTTAACTGCCCCCCATGAGGCTTGCGGAGGAGCCTCTCCATCTGTTGTGAGCATCTGTTCTCCTGAGCAGACACCCATGCCCTTCCCTAGCAACTCCCCTCTGCACCACACCTCCCACTCTTCCCCTCCACCATCCTAGTTGTAATGCCCCCATGCCAGGCGTGCCTCTCACCAGGTGTAGGCTGCGGCAGTCCACCAGGGCAGTAAGGTGCTGCAGATTCACCTCCGTGCCATTCAGCACCTCCTGGACACGGAGCAGGGGATCCTGGGGGCAAGTATCACACAAGGTCAGTGCCGCCACCTCCTGGGAGCCCCTCAGGTCTTCCTTTACCCTCCAACCTGTCCCTGAGACCAACCTCAACCCTGAGGTCTCATGCAGGCTCCAAGGACCCTGGATCTTTGGAAATGGTTGACTCCAGAGTCTGTGTCATAGACTCTCAGGGCCTGCTGAGGACCGAGCAATGCCTGATCAATGTGGTTACTATGTGAAGAAAGACCTCCCTTGATTGTAATGGGAGGAACAGCAAACTGCCCACAGGTCTGCTGACACAGAACAGGGTCTGTCTTTAGAAACTACTTTCAGGGCCAGCCAGGTGGCGTGGTGGCTAAGGTGGCTGGATCCCACATGGCCAACTGCTGGTTCAACGGCTAGATCCAGTGGCTTTAAAAACATGTCAAGTGTGTGTGCATGCATGCCCAGAATCCTCAAAGAAGAAATGGAGGAGTGGGGATTGCAGTGTGACCATCCCCCATGGGGGGGTGCTTTCTCACTCTCCCAACTCCCCCCAGGCAATATACCCTCTAGCAAATTAAAGAAGAACGAGAAAGAAGGAAAAAGGAGAAGGAAGAAGGAGGAAGAAAAAGGAAGGGAGAGGGGGTGGGTGAGGGGGAGGAGGAAGAAGAGGAAGAAGAAGAGGAGGAGGAGAAGGAGGAGGAAGAAGAAGACGATGATGATGATGACTGTATTTTCAGAAAGTCAGTAAGGTAATATGCTCATATCTTAAGTGACAAATCAGGGTACCAGCAGTTAGCATAATGGCTATGTCACTGAACTCCCATGTAGTCAGCCGCAGTTCGAGTCCCGGACCCGGTGGCTTAAATTCATGCTGGGTGCGTGTGTATGCGTGCCCAAGATCCCGAGAGGAGAATGGTGGAGAAGGGATTGCAGCGTGGCCATACCCCCCGGGGGGTGATTTCTTGCTTTCTGTCCCTCTATCTCTTTCTGTCTTTCTGGTGAGTGCATGCGCCCTATAGCAAAAAACAAAACAATACAAAACAGTAGACAACCTCCCTGTGTGCAGTGAGCCTGATCTCAGTGCTCATGTAGGTGTGTGCATGCTTGTCCTCACACACATCTATCAGCCACCTCCGGCTCTATATTATGCATGGAGAAATGGCTACACAGCGACACTCATGACTTGACAAGGTCTTCTCTAGGTCAGTGACTGGACCCAATGCTGCCTCCTATAATACATGTCTTAAGGACTCTTACGATCCCCAAACAGATTTTAGGATAATAGAACTTACTGGTATGGGTTAAACTAAGGCCCCCAAAACATGTCTGCTGAAGCCCTGACCCCCAGTACCTGAGAATGTAACTGTATGTGGAGATAGGACCTTTAGAGCTGTAATTAAGGTTAAGTGAGGTCATACAGGTGGGCCCCAATCCAGTCTGATTGTCTTATGAAAAGAGGAGATTAGGACAGTCATGCACAGAGGAAAGACCACGTGAAGACAAAGGCCTGGAGGGTATGGGAGCTTGCCAGAGAGACAGAGAAGGTGAGAAAGCACCCCTCATCAGGGATAGTCATGCCACAATTCCTCCTCTAGTTCTCCTCTGGATGTTGGTTCACACACACACACCCTAGTGTCAAGTCACTGTGTCTAGAACTCAAATAGCCATGTGAGATCCAGCTGCCTTAACCACCACACCACTGGCTGCCTGAAAGAGAATTTTTTTTTTTTTTCATTTTTGCCATAGAGCAGTTGCACTCCCTGAAAAAAGTGCGAGAAAGAGATGACTATAGCACAATCCCTTCTCCTCCATTCTCTTGGGATTTTGGACATGCACACACATGCATCTGGCATGCTTTTCATACCACCGGATCTGGGCCTCGAACTGTGGTCATGTGAGAATCCGGAGCCTTAACCACTACTCACCTGCTAGACCCCGAAACGTAAAATTTTTAAAAAGTTGGGGGTCGGTAGGTGGTGTGGTGGTTAAGGGTGCTGGACTCCCACATGGTCAACCATGAACCCAGCAGTTTGCTTTCTTACTTTCCCTCTTTCTCTCTCTCACTGTCTTTCTCTGGTCAAAAAAAAAAAATTGTTTTTGAGAGATTTTCGCTATAGGGCACGTGCACTAGCCAGACAGACAGAGAGAGACATAGAGACAGAAAGTGAGAAATCACCCCCCAGGAGGGATGGTCACGCTGCAATCCCTTCTCATCCATTCTCCTCTCGGGATCTTGGGCACGCACGCACACGCGCCCGGCATGAGTTTTAAGCCACCAGGTCCAGGACATGAACTGTGGTCGACTACGTGGTAGTCCAGCAACATAGCCATTACATGCTGGTTCCCCTCTGGTCAAATTAAAATAATAAATAAATAAATAAATAAAGTTAAATAAGATAATTCTTAATTTTTTTTTTTTTTAAAGTAGCTTTCAGATGGCCTCTGTGATCCAGTGGCAATACATTGCTCAGGACAGGATGGATCCCCCATTGGACTGCTGTTCAAATCCCAGACCTGGACAGCCTGAGACATGCCAGGCACATGTACAGGTGCCGAGGGTCTGATGGGCTGGAGGACCAGAGGAGGGGCATCATATCATGGCTGGACCCTGTGGAAGGCGGGAGGGTACCGTGCTCTTTCACACACACTTATGTACTCTATCATGAATAAAATAAACTTTTATCATGAAAAAAATAACTTTAGTGTGTGCATATATGTATATACACACATATTTTTAAAACATCGTGTATATTTTTTTAAGAGAACCACCTGCTGCTTCCAAACGGAGTGTGATAGCCACAGTTGTACCCACATTGGTGCTTGTATCTCATTCCAGCACTGGAATGGTACACACAGGAGGGATCCCCATGGGTACACCAAATACCTCCAAAGATTCAGGTTTTTGTCAGAAGTATCGTAACATGTACTTATTTTATTTTATTATTTATTACTTGTTAGTTTGACCAGAGAGAGACAGAGAGGGTGAGAAAGCAAGCTGCCAGGTCCAGGACTTGAACCAGAGTCGACCATGTGGGAATCTAGCACGTTAACCACCACGCCACCTGCCCGTAACATGTATTTTAAAATGCAAATGCTCAGGACCCATAATCTACATGCACAGTCAATCACCTCAGATTTTCAGAATGCTCCCAGGGGTGCACCTCACCTCAAGAATAATTTTTTTGGGACCAGTAGTTGGCGTAATGGCTATGTCACTGGACTCCCACGTAGTCAACCATGGTTTGAGTCCTGGACCCAGTGGCTTAAACTCACACTGGGCGCTTGTGTACCCAAGATCTCGAGAGGAGGGATCAGCAGTTAGCGTAATGGCTATGTCACTGGACTCCCGCGTAGTCAATCACGGTTCAAGTCCTGGACCCGGCGGCTTAAACTCACGCCGGGCGCGCGTGCGTGCGTGCCCAAGATCCCGAGAGGAGAATGGAGGAGAAGGGATTGTGGCATGGCCATCCCCCCTGGGGGGTGATTTCTCACTTTCTGTCTCTCTGTCTCTCTGGCAAGTGCACGCACCCTATAGCAAAAACCTCTCTTAAAAAAAAAAAAAAATCCTGAGAGGAGAAGGAATAGCAGCATGGCCAACCTCCCTGGGGGGTGGTATCTCGCTTTCTGTCTCTCTCTGTCTTTCTAATGAGCACACGTGCTCTATAGCAAAAATCTCTCAAAAAATAAAAAAATTTAAAAAAGAACAATTTTTTTCAAAAAAGAATTATTTATTTACTTTAAATTTTGACCAGAGAGAAAGGGGGAAAGTGAGAAAGCAAGCTACCAGGTCTGGGACTCAAACCATGGTCAACCAAAGCCTTGGCCACCATGTCACCTGCCCACCCCTCAAGAATAGATTTTATATTGTTCCTTCATCTGTTTCCATTTTACCCATCTTTTTTAAGTGCCAGAAGGTGAAGGTGTTCACCAGAGTGAGACAGAGAGAGTGAGCGAGAGAGAGAGCACTCCCCAGTGGGGCGTGGTCATGCCATAATCCCTTCCCCTCCATTTCTCCATCCTGTCAGGATTCTGGACACACACACACACACGCACTAGCATGTTCTTCAAGCCATTGGGACCAGGACCCAAACTGCAGTTGGCCATATGGGATCTAGCTCCCTACGCACAGGGCCTAACTGGTACCCTACGGGGCTAGTCCTCAAATGATCCTCCTAATCCCCATTAGGCACCATCCTGGTGTCATCTCCGGATTAGCCCTGAGCTATGTTTACACCATGAATTTTTTTTATGCTGGGAAAAGGGAGGCCCTGCTGGCCCCACCACCCGCTAGCATCCCCTCACCTTGGTGGTGGGCTGCTCCCGCGGGACACTCCTCAGGAGCTCAGTCACGACATCGTGCATCTCCACCAGCGCCTTGTGGCTGCCCGACAGCTTCTGCACCACACAGAGGCGCTAGTTTAGTGGAAAGAGGCCACTCCACCTCTCCTTCCCTTAAGCCTTCCTTTCATGGGGCAGCCCAAGGTCTAGGTGGCCCGCAAGGTGTCCAGCCTATGAAGCCATAGCAGCTCTCGGCAAGCTGGTAGTGCCTGGCTCCACCCTACAGGACTGTTGGCACCCTTCCCTTGCTTACCGAGGCTGCCTACACCCCCAGAGACAAGATCCCCCAAGGTGGTAACCAACCCACTCCAGAAAGCACAGCCTGGCATCTTCAATGCAGACAGACTTCAGGACCCAAAGGTCATGCAATCACAGGAGGGACCAGTGGTGCTGACCCTTTCGTATCCCTCCACTAGGGCAACTGACTAGGCCTGGTTCTATAAGGCTCCTTTTCCCACACCTGCCTGAAGATTGAACAGCCCAAGGAATGACAGAGTCCCAGGGATATGGGGACATCAAGCAAGTTGGTCCAGAAGTCATGTATCCAGGGTAGCAGGTTGGTAACCCCAGGGGCAATGAGTGACGTCAGCATGGTGGTTACCAGCTGCTTTCCCACAGTTGCCATAGGCCTAGTGGGCTGTTAGCATCTGGGCATTGGGGGGCCCTCTCCCACACAGATCCACCCCCAACCTTATGCCCTGGCCAGCAGCCTTGGCCTCCCAGGACCAACCCAGGCTCTCACCTGCTGGAAGGGGTTGGCGGCATGGGGTGAGCAGGCCAGGTAGTACTGCAGGATGTCTGCGGAGAGATCAGGGTGGGTTGAGCAATGACAGCTGTCTGTGAGCCTGTACGTGTGTGCCTGTATGACTGTGTGGGTATGTCTGTATCTGTGTCTGCATGTGTGTATGAATGCATGCCTACATATCTATGCATGCATAAGTGTAAGTCTGTGAGTGTGTACCTGCATGCACGCGTGTGTCTGTGTGCATATAAGCACGTGTGCCTATGAGTAAAGGGAACTTCGAAAGGTTTATAGAAAAAACAGAATTGAAATACAAGTTTATCAAGGCCAGCAGGTGGCGTAGTGGTTAAAGCACTGGATTCCCACGTGGCTGATTATGGTTCAGGTCTCAGAGCCAGCACCTTGAAAATCATGCCAGGCACGTGCGCATGTGAACCCAAAATCCCAGGAAGAGAATAGAGGAGAAGAGAGAGCAGTGTGGCCATCCTCCCTTGTGGGGTGATTTCTCGTTTTCCTTCTACCAGTCTCTCTCTTTCAGGAGAGCGCACGGGCCCTGTGGCCACTAGGTTCAGGACTCGAACCATGGTTGGCCACATGGGAGTGTCCAGCATCTTAACCAGCATGCCACTTGCTGGTCCCCATGCATAGTTTCTTTATGACACATATTTCCCATGAACTTTTGAAGACCGCCTTGTATATCTGTGCGTGCACGTGCATGTGTCTGTACATATGCATGATTCAAATTTGTGTGTGTGTGCACATGTCTGAGTCTGCATGTACATGCATGAGTGTGAGGTGAGTCATGACCTCCAGGGAGACCAGGGCCAGTGGTTAGACCCTTCCATTCTCAGCCATGTCCCTGCAGTGGACGCATCTCCCCCAGCGCCTTGTGGCTGCCCGACAGCTTCTGCACCACACAGAGGCGCTAGTTTAGTGGAAAGAGGCCACTCCACCTCTCCTTCCCTTAAGCCTTCCTTTCATGGGGCAGCCCAAGGTCTAGGTGGCCCGCAAGGTGTCCAGCCTATGAAGCCATAGCAGCTCTCGGCAAGCTGGTAGTGCCTGGCTCCACCCTACAGGACTGTTGGCACCCTTCCCTTGCTTACCGAGGCTGCCTACACCCCCAGAGACAAGATCCCCCAAGGTGGTAACCAACCCACTCCAGAAAGCACAGCCTGGCATCTTCAATGCAGACAGACTTCAGGACCCAAAGGTCATGCAATCACAGGAGGGACCAGTGGTGCTGACCCTTTCGTATCCCTCCACTAGGGCAACTGACTAGGCCTGGTTCTATAAGGCTCCTTTTCCCACACCTGCCTGAAGATTGAACAGCCCAAGGAATGACAGAGTCCCAGGGATATGGGGACATCAAGCAAGTTGGTCCAGAAGTCATGTATCCAGGGTAGCAGGTTGGTAACCCCAGGGGCAATGAGTGACGTCAGCATGGTGGTTACCAGCTGCTTTCCCACAGTTGCCATAGGCCTAGTGGGCTGTTAGCATCTGGGCATTGGGGGGCCCTCTCCCACACAGATCCACCCCCAACCTTATGCCCTGGCCAGCAGCCTTGGCCTCCCAGGACCAACCCAGGCTCTCACCTGCTGGAAGGGGTTGGCGGCATGGGGTGAGCAGGCCAGGTAGTACTGCAGGATGTCTGCGGAGAGATCAGGGTGGGTTGAGCAATGACAGCTGTCTGTGAGCCTGTACGTGTGTGCCTGTATGACTGTGTGGGTATGTCTGTATCTGTGTCTGCATGTGTGTATGAATGCATGCCTACATATCTATGCATGCATAAGTGTAAGTCTGTGAGTGTGTACCTGCATGCACGCGTGTGTCTGTGTGCATATAAGCACGTGTGCCTATGAGTAAAGGGAACTTCGAAAGGTTTATAGAAAAAACAGAATTGAAATACAAGTTTATCAAGGCCAGCAGGTGGCGTAGTGGTTAAAGCACTGGATTCCCACGTGGCTGATTATGGTTCAGGTCTCAGAGCCAGCACCTTGAAAATCATGCCAGGCACGTGCGCATGTGAACCCAAAATCCCAGGAAGAGAATAGAGGAGAAGAGAGAGCAGTGTGGCCATCCTCCCTTGTGGGGTGATTTCTCGTTTTCCTTCTACCAGTCTCTCTCTTTCAGGAGAGCGCACGGGCCCTGTGGCCACTAGGTTCAGGACTCGAACCATGGTTGGCCACATGGGAGTGTCCAGCATCTTAACCAGCATGCCACTTGCTGGTCCCCATGCATAGTTTCTTTATGACACATATTTCCCATGAACTTTTGAAGACCGCCTTGTATATCTGTGCGTGCACGTGCATGTGTCTGTACATATGCATGATGCAAATGTGTGTGTGTGTGCACATGTCTGAGTCTGCATGTACATGCATGAGTGTGAGGTGAGTCATGACCTCCAGGGAGACCAGGGCCAGTGGTTAGACCCTTCCATTCTCAGCCATGTCCCTGCAGTGGACAACATCCTTGGGAGTGAGCCTTGGTCCTGCCTTACTCTGCAGCAGTGGACAGAGCAGTGGGGTGGGGAAGGAGGCAGAAGTCCACCCTGGGCAAACATCCAACCCCTCTGTGCCTGTCCCTTCACAGGTCATTTAGACAGAATGACAGCACTAAGGTCAGTGCATCACCTAAGAAAGGAGAGGACACAGCCTGGAGGTCCCACCTGGGCTTGGGCTGTAAGTAGCCTATTTGTGTCATTCACATTAAAATGTGTGGTAAGTCAGTGCCAACATTTAAAGGTGGGAAAAATTTACCTACAATTCTGACTTTCCAGCGTCTCTTGAAAAGCCTGGAAGACCCAAGCACAGCTGGAGCCAAGTGAGGTGGCCCTGGATCCTGCCTGCCTGTCCCTGGCTGCCCACCCACTTCATAGTGTCACTGCTTTGGAGCATGGGGGCCCCTTTCTCAGGGCTGCTGTGCAGGAGGGGGAGGGGGCCAGAGCCTGGCCTGCACACCTGCCCCTTGCCAGGGTTCAACCTTCTGAACTCTCTACAAGTTTAGTTCTTCCAATAAAACTTATTATACAAAAAAAGTTTGTAAAGTTGAAAAATAAAACTACTTAGAAACGTCAGGAAGCACTAGGCTTCAATTTAGCCACCTGGAAAATGGAGCGAACATGGCTACCCATGCTGGCCTTCTGGGAGGGGCTGTCTGGCCCATAAGCAGGCGCTCACGTGAGCTTACTTACTTGTGGCTGGGGACTGCCTGTGTTTGCTGAGGTCCTGAAACTTTGAACAGTGGGGACCTGGAGATGCCAGGCTGATGGAACAAAGACTGAGGACGGTGGCAGGGGCTGTGGTCACAAGCTCTGCCAGCCCCCAGCAGAGAGCATGCCTACCTTTTACCCCTGAGGACAAGATGAGTATGGACCAGAAGACCCTCCCTCCTGGGGCTCCCCAGGCTTCACTGGCTCCTTAAACAAAATGAGTTGAGAAACCAGCCTACATGCTAAACCTGTGGCTTTGGTGGACAAAGGGTATCAGAGCAGTCCCTGATAGGTGACTGTCACCAACGCCCATCCCTGCAGGGACAGCCCTCTATTTTCTATTAAGGCATGTGCAATAATGGGGGAACCAGAAGCTTAGCAGTCTCCAGTCCTGGTCACACCCCAAATCCCAGACTTCCACATTCACCTTCCTTCCTAACACTCAATGTGCACTGCAAACTTGGCCAAACCTTCCTACCCCTGGGCCCCCAACCCCAGATCCACTCTCCCACCCCCACTTCCAACTTAGTTCAGGGCCCCTGCAACAAGGAGCTGCTTGGACCAGGGACCCAAATGCCTTCTCAATTCTGACTAATCCAGTGAATTGAAAATTCCTGTTTATTCCACCTTCAAAGCACGTCCTGTCCATTTCTTGCCCCATTTACTCAAGCCATTGCTGTCTCCACTGTCCGCTGACTGCAGAAATTCAATAGCTTCGCCTGACCCCTTCTTGTCACTCTAGCTGCCTGAAGCAGCTTTAAAAAAGACCTTCAATCGTGGACCATGCCTCTCCCCTGGTTCCTTCCTTCCAATGACTCCCCACTAGAAAAAAGCCCAAACTCCCAAAGACTAGACCGTGGCCAGCCCACTGGCCACCCCATCTGCTACGCTCCCAACTGGTCTCTCTCCTGTCTTGCAAATACACCAGGGCCACTTGCTGTCTCAGGGCCTTTGTACAAGGTCTAGCTCAACTTTAATGCCACTTGTTTGGCAGCCCTTCTCTCTCTGAAGCAGCCCCACTGTCACCCCTCTCCAGGTGGCTGGTCTCATAAGTTCTCCGCAGAGCCTTCTACATGGGCAAAGTGGTCCTGTGTGTGCACTTGCTTCCTGGTTGGGGCCCTGCCTCCCTGAGGACCAAAGGCAGGAGGCCTCAGCCTCCTTCACCTCGTTCTCCCAGCTCAGTCTCACAGGAAGCTGGCTCTGCTGTGGCGACAGACTCACCTCCGCTCAGCACTGAGTGCTCCTCCACCATCTTGGTCACATAGGTGTCTGGGTCCACACAGAAGTCACTGGAACCCTGGGGTGGGCATGGGCAAGGAAGATAGGGTGATTGAGCTGGGCCTCAGAGGGAAGCTGGGCCCACCCTCAGTTCTCAGTGGGCAGAATCTGAGCCCAAGGTCTGCCTTCAGCTCAGGAAGCGGAGTGTGAGTCTGGGGAACAGGGACACACTGTGAACCCATGCATAAGCCTCCACCCCTCCTGAGACCCAGTGTCCTAGGGGAAGATGACTGTGGCCCTTCCCCATGCCTAGGCCCAGCAGACAGGGATTGTGAGTTCCCTCTGCAACTCACCACGGATGCAGCCAGCTCCAAGCCCAGTGCGCCCCAGCTGATGACCAGGGCCAGGACCCCCAGCAGGCAGACCCTTGGGGCAAAGAGAGCTGGTCAGCCGCCCCAAGCTGGGGGGAAGGGCATGCCACCCACAAAGAGGTAGACTGAAGGGCCAGGTCAAAGGCACATCTGGAGATCAGCCCACACAGGAGCCAGCACCCCCTAAGACCCAGCACCCAGACAGATTCTCCTCTTGGCTGGTAGAGGGCTCAGGAGTAGGGAGTGCGGACCTCTGGTTGCTAGAAGGCCATGTGGCTTACCAGGCCTCACCCTTCCTGTCCCCTGGCCTCCCTCTTCAGTAGACAATGTTCTCTGCTCTCGTTCTGGCCTCTGCGATCCACACTGAGGCCCAAAGGGCCTGTTGACATCGGACTAGGCCTACCTGTGCTCAAACCCCACAGGGGCACTAATGCCGACAGGGTTCCTGCCTGTGGGGCTGGCCCCTCCCTCAGCTGAGGCCTGACCCTAATACCTCCCTCTGGCTCCCTCCTGTCCAGCCATACAGGTCTCCCCATAGCTCCATGCACACCTCACTACAGGCCACTAAATGCCCTCCCTCCTGTGTCCAAGCATCCCTCCCTCCCTTGGCAGAGTGTGTACATGACAGACTGTTCTGTCCATCTCCCCACTCCAGGGTACCTCCACCTCGACACATGGCAGTTTGACTCATCCACATCTCCTAGCCTGTGAGCAATATGTGGCCAGGGGATGCAGTGGCCAAGTGGGAGCCAGGACATGGCTGTGCAGCTACTCTGTGAGGGACATGGCAACTCTGTGGATTATCTGTTACTATCTCATCTTTTAGATGGGGAGACCGAAGCTCGATGGCCACCTGCCCAAGGTCACCAGCCTAGTGAGCAGCAGAGAATCCAGGTGGCCAAAGCCAATGATAGAGAGGGAGGAAGAAAGTTCTAGACTGACGACCCAGGCAAGTCCCTCAGGTCTCTGGGGTGCAAGTGTCACACATGCAGACTCTCTGAGGGAGGAGCACAACAGAAAAACAAGACCTGGATGGGGACAAATGTTCCTGGGACACTGGCCACAGGGTACAGGCATGGGCACCTCAGAGCAGGCCTTCTCCACCAGAAGCCACCCTTGGGATGAACAGCTGGTGAGGGTCTCACTGGGGTCCCACCGCAGACCCTGTGGCTGGGATCCGCAGATTACGGAGAGTAGTTGGGAAGAAATGGTGCTACTGATGTCTTGCACCATCCCTCTGTCCCATGGGCCTACCTCCCACTCACACTCACCCGACCAGGATGCCCTTGGAGCTGCGGATGAGGCCGACCAGCACCAGGAGGCAGATGATGACATCCAGAAGCAGCAGGCCCAGGTAGCCCAGCCATCTGAGGACACACCAGGGGTTTGGGCCAAGGGATGGGGCAGAGTGTAGGGGGAGGGGGTCAGGGAGCAGGCAGAGCTAGTCAACAGCCTGGTACCCAGAAGAGGCATCTGCAGGCAGCTCTGGAACATGGGGACCAGGTTGGTTCTAGAAAAAGATGGCCACCTGGGAGCTTCCCACCACTGCCAGGGACCTCCAGTGGCCTGGCCACCCCCCAGAAGCACTTAGGGATTAGGTGCTGAGACTAGCCCACGGAGGGTGATGCTTCACTCAGGTGCAGTAGGCCTGGGTAGGCCAGCAGGAAAGGGCTTGGCCGCACCTGTACCAGTCGTAGAGATCGACCTGCTCTGCTAGCACCTCCAGCGACACGGCAGGATTCCTCCAAAAGGGGATGGCAGCTGTGTAGCTCAGCAGTGTCTCGAGCAGGCCCTGCAGCCGCTGGACAGCCCGGAGGGGCTCTGGCCGGCCAGGCCGGTGCAGCTCCCCG